AACGGTAGAGACTGACTTCTGATGAAACTCAGGCTTTGGAGTTTCTAGAAATGATCTAAAATTGATAAGGATGCAAAGATACAAGAATGTTACTGACTCACAACGGTGAGTTTGTCCTTGGTACATTTAATCTTCTAAGTTTATAATATGACCGAGTCATAAGCAGAAATAATATGACTCTTGGTCATATTATAAACAGAACTTTGTAGAAAACATTGGAAAGTCAAGTCTTGCCTACTGATGGTTTTGTCTCTAATTGGATTTGTACTGATGAGAACAGAGTAAAACTCATGATCCAAAGGCATGAAAAGGTGGAATATGAGTAGGTAATGTCATATGAATCTGAACATCCTCTGAGCCACAAATGCACACCCTCTAGTCTGGCCATTAACCCTCTGAAGGTCTTTCCCCAGTATCCAAAAGGAAGGACTCCACCCCCCTAACAAATATGTACACTCACAAAGTAAGGCCAACATAGGCCAAAATTAGGCCCATCACAGAAAGGCTCAGAAACTCTTCTTGGTGGAACCACAGCCAAGAAGCCCATCACAGCCACCATCTCCTCCTCCTCAAATGTCAAGTCCTCCTCCACTCTCCTGTTCTTCTCCTTTTGTTTCTTTCTTGAATGCTTTAGCCTTTTCTTCCTCTGAGTTTCTTCATCCTTTGCTCAAAATCATAATCCTTCAGCTGGTTTATGTCTTATTGACCGACCTCAAAGCTTTTCTTCACCTGATCCAGGATAGAACGTTCCACATGCCTAGGCATGCCCAGGTTCCGTTGATTCTTTCCATTCATATGATCCAGGAAGTTGATGGAGTCTCTCACACAGTCACAGACCTTGCAGTAATGTCCTCCCATCTCAGATGGTGGGGTTGTCTTGGTCATGACACTTGGAATCCAATCTTGAGAAGACAAGCCCACTTTATAGTCTCTTTGTTACTGAAACTCCCTCTTGACTGGCTGCCCTGGTTTTCCATCCTTTCCACTCTCTCCTGTGAGTCTTAGTTTCTTGTATTCCTCTTTGTCCCACTTTCAAAGAAAGTACACATTTTTTAATATAGAAAAATGCTTTATTTAAAAATAGGATCTTTTCAAGAACA